TTAGGTTCAATTTTCGGATTCCGAACCTAAATCAGGACCAGCTGAACCGGGAACCGGACATTTCTAAAAAATCGTAGAGTATGGCTTTAAGGCTTCCACTTCGTTTCCCTTAGCTCCATCCAATTATCTTTAATTCAATTGTTTCAGTACTTTGACCTCAACATTGACTAATAATTAATTGAAGGATTCCTAATTATAGCAACAGATAAAAATCCCTATAATTTTAATATTTCTTGCCTTCATGAGACTTCATAATTATAATATTTTCTATTTTCTTTTGTTTTAAATAAAAATAATGCGACTCATTCTTCAAATAGTAAAAAGGCCTAACATTTTGTACTTAATACAACTTTCGATACCAAAAAAAAAAAAGAAGAGACTATAAATATTAATAGAATTAAGTAATAAAGTATATAATATCATAAAAAAAAAACTGGAATTATAATGTTTAGTTTAAGTAACGGATTTTACAGTAAAAGATATGTCGCCGTTCAAATGACATTGCTTTTTATTAAGCTGATAAATTTTTATAAACTTAGTTAATTTTTATTGTAATATATATAGTGTTTTTGAATTATTATCATTTGATTCATAATTAAATCCAGGCTTATTACTTTTTCATTATTATATTCAATATAGTCCCGAAGCTTGGTTTTCCTAGCAAAGACCCATATTACAATAAAATATAACAATTAATTTTGTTAAAAAATGTTAATTTTTTTTTATTTACACTTTAAAACTTAAATATTGGATATGACAAATTAACTAAAATAAACGCGATAAATATTTTTTAAATGAATATAAAATATATATGGATTAATAATAAATGTATAGTACATTTGACTTTACATTCTAAGCAGTAGCACTTTACATTTTAAGCAATAGCACTTTACAATTCTTAATACTGAATTTTCAAAAAAAAAATTGATTTAATATCAAATTTATTCGCGTACTTTATTAATTATCGAAATTTATAATAACTTGATAAAGTATTTATCTATAAACGACAAACATGTTTATAACTTAAAATACTAGACCACCAAAAAAATGGTCGGAATTTATTTCAAAATATATATTCAAAATCATAAAGACATTTTTTTTCTAAACCACTGATTTATTTATTGATGAAGAGAATATGAAAATAAAAAACAAATGATAATGAAAATGAAAAATGAAGTGATAATGAAAAAAAATGAAAGTGAAAATGAAAAAAAAATGAAAAAATGAAATGTTAATACCAGATATGTGGGCCTATAAACAGTACAGTACAGTATTCAAGGGGGGATAAAAAGGGCAAAGAGCAAAGGGTGTTTTTTTTTGGTGGGCAACAGGAGGGGCTACATATTCACAAAGGACTAAAAAGAACCGATAATTGCAAAAAGATGATGGCTATATACATTTTTTTTTGCTTTTTTTTTTTTTGCTTTTTTTTTTTTTTTTTTTTTACAAAATGAAGAATTCTATGTAATGTAATGCAAAAAAAAGGACAAATTTTTTTAAAAAATTATATACATTTTTTTTTTTTTGGGCTCTTCGATATATAAAAAGTGGTGACGATTAATTTAAGCTTTCGAGTTACGATTACGATGATTTCGAGTTACGATTTTAAAAAATTTCGTTTTCGAGTTTCTAGAAAGAAAAAAAAGTTATCATCGAATCAGAATTTTAAAATGCACAAAAAAAGGAAGATAAATTCTTACATTGATGACCGGTTTAAGGTTTAGCAGCACCTTATTCTAAAAAGGAATTTAAAAAAAAATTGTTAAAAAAAAAAGGTCAAACAGAAATCATAAATTTATACGTTTAGAAAATTGCATACGACGGTGTGGTTTAGGAGCACGTTTGACTAATAAATTGGAAGAATCAAGTTATTAAAATTACCGAGTCGAATCGACAAATCCATATAATGGAAAATTACATACCTTGTTTAGGAGCACGTTTGACTAATAAACCGAGAGAATCAAGTTATTATCGAGTCGAATCGACAAATTCATATAATAGATAATTTACATACCTTGTTTAGGAGCACGTTTGACTAATAAATCGAAAGAATCAAGTTATTATCGAGTCGAATCGACAAATTCGTATAATAGAAAATTTACATACCTTGCTTAGGAGCACGTTTGTCTAATAAATAGAAAAGAGTCAAGTTATTAAAAATACGTGTCGAACCGACCAATTCGAATAATGGAAAATTACATACTGTGTACAGCACTTCGTTTATAGCCATAGTCGTAATCTTTGTCATAGTCGTAATCGTAATCGTAATCGTAATCGTAATCTTTGTCATAGTCGTAATCGTAATCGTCTGAGTAGTAGTATTCGTCATCATCGTCGTCTTCCTCGTAGTAGTAGTCATAGTCGTAGTCGTAGTCGTCGTAGTCGTAGTCGTAGTCGTAGTCGTAGTCGTCGTAGTCCTTTTCATCGCCACGCTTCTCTAGTGACGATTAAACAGAAATTAATTAGACTATAAAAAGATCAAGTGAGAGGATAAGACAAGCATTACTTACTGTGTTTAAGTGACGCCTTGCGTTTGTCTATTTAAAAAGATATTTAGTAATTAATTTCAAGCGAAAAATCTTAGAAATAAAAATTTCATACTATGTTTAGGAGCACGTTTTCCTAGAAAATAATAATAATAAAAAAATCTTGAACATCGAATCAAATCTAATTTAAATCTTGGGAGAAAAAGATTCAATAACTGAAAATCACGTACTCTGGACGGGTGCAGCTTCTCGTTTTTCTAAAGAAATGGAGGAACGAAAAAACGAAATTCATTAAATATCAGAGTTTCAATGAAAAGGCGAAACTAGTAAAATTTCATACTATTTTCGGGTTCGGCGACACGCTTTTCTAATATAGATTAGAATACAGTTAAATTATTAAAGCTAACAAGATATTAGCAAAGTTACGAGAATTAAAGTTACGAACCTTCTTCTGGAGCAGCGCTAGCGATGACTGACGCTACGAAGAAGAAGATAGCTAATAAGGAAATGTACTTCAAATTCATCATTTATTTATTTATATTTTTTTTTTTCTATACTATATTAGGATTTATTTTTTATAATTTAATTTATTTGAGAGGTGTGAGGAAATTGAAGGAGAGATCGAAAGGATTTATATACTTTTTCGCGGTCATAAATTTGATATAAGTCTTTAACATCTATCTATTCGATAATAATTCGATAATAATCTCAAAGTCTAACATAAATCTGATCACAGCCTCAGATATTTCTCTTTTCATCAGATAATTGAGTGCACTTGTTTCATTGTCCAAAATAAAATATTCTAATATAATAATTAATAATTAATAATTAATAAATTAATAATTAATAAAAAAATGAATTGCAAAAAACTTTCGAACTGGCTTAGCAGATCTGAAAATTGATCTGGAAAAATAAACGCATACAAGATCCACATATTCCTTAAATAGATATTTGATATTAATGCACGATTTAGATAATATCTTTTTTTATAATTCAATATGATAAAGAAGGAAAATTCATAAAAATAAATTTCCAGATTTTTATTATTAAATATTTTTGATATCGCTAACATAAAATTTTTTAATATGCATGTGTGGCTGTGGTTTACACCGGTGATAGTCAATTTAGGAAATCCCATATTAGTTCCATATATATTCTACGTATGGTATATGTATGCGATATATATGCTATACGTTATCCGAGATACGTCATTTAATTACAGCCACATATCTATTAAAGAAACTTCAAGTTAATACTTAGTTTTTTGTCAAAGATAATGTAATAAACGTAATTGTATTCTAAATTCTCGATAACGCATGAGTACATGTTAATTTTTTTTCGCTTGCTCCAAGTTTTCTGCGATAGTTTTCTTTATTATTTTCTTTATTAAAAAGGAAAATAATTCCGGATTTTGATCAATGAAATTTGTAATTTCCGTAATTTTAAATTTTACCTCTAAGCCATGACAATCGATAATCCCAGCATAATATGAATTAATCTTTCCTAGATGATAACTTCGCCCCAATTGAATACTAAGCCGAGCACGTACGTACGTGCGTACTTGCGTATGTATAAATTTCCCATTCTTTAAGTTAATGACTTAATCACGTGTTGCAGGTTACAGGTCAGATTAAGTTGTTATCGTTATCTAAAAACATTTTATTCGATGGACTAAGCCATGAACACATGTATTATATGAATTTTCCTAATTCAAATTAGAATAATCACACAATATCGGTGGCTAAGTCGTAAATTAGCTAAGCCATCTTCTAATTATAATCGTTGTCTTTCATAGCTTACAATTTACTTTTTTGATTTTTTTAATGCTCATCTATAGACTACAATCTACTTGTTCACTATCAATTCAATGTAACAATATTTATTACACTTTATTGTCTGAGCATAATAGTCCACGTAATAGTGCTTAGCTGACTAATCGATATCCAAATCGATCGCGTTAATTAAAAACACGTAATCATTGTGTGCTTACTAGCATTTATAATCGGCTTAGCTGACTATATCCAAATCGATCGCGTTAATTAAAAGCACGTAATCATAAATGGTTATTTGATATAATAATTGGGTATTACATAAGAGATCCAAAATTTTTTAGTTTCGGACATCTATTAATTTGATTTTAATTGATCTTTTTAATCCTCTCTGGTTTATTAATCTTTGCCTTCGATGAATATAAGTGATTTTACTATTAAATCATGAAAACCCAATATATGAATTTATTTTGCTTGTTATTGTTTCTTATCAATACAGTAATAATTAAAATATCCGAACATGTTTCTTTGCGAAATATAACGATCAACATATTGCTATAAGCCACTTTGATAATTTAATTTCTGTTCACGTGTTCCCGTTAAAAAATCTGACTCGTGTTTCGATCTTGCATTCTTTTTCTGTACATTCATAATCCTGACAGCACAATAAGCCCGAATGACAAAAACGGTTACCGTAAACGGCCATATAAAAGATCCTTCCCGAATAGTAGACCCAACGGGTACTAGACCCGAGTGCAGTTCTCAGGATCTTGATTGATATGTAATTCTTTCAAACATCTAGATTGCATGTTACAAATGCAAAGTGTGTATGCATTTCAAATTTTTACTCTCTATCGCTATGATACAAACTCTCAGCCATGTACTAGACCCGGGTCTACTATAGGTTTAGACCCGGGTCGTTTATATGACCGTTTACGGTAGAATTTTTTCTGGTTAATTTGGACTATGTCAGATCATATGAAGTTCTCGGGATTTATTATCTGGTCTCGAATTTTGTTAGTCAGGCTAATGCTATAATGTGAAATTATGACTATCGGATTTTATACTAAGGCCTTTTTCTGGAATATTCTTTATTTTATTTATTGTGTGATCTTTATGATTAACTGCAAAATTATTAATCTTTAAATTTTAAAATTTTTTGTTATAACTTATATATAATATAATACAGTATATACTATATACGTATATATATATTACAGTATATTTGAAGGTGACTTCTTGGTCAGAGACTTTTTATTAAGTAATAGATAACATTACAATTGTAATAAAAGTACAACTAGCCACATATGCACTTTTGGTGTTTAATTTAAGTAGTCTGCCTAAAGATTTTACACTAGCTGTTCATATTTGCAACCCAACTATAGAGTTATCTATTTAAACTTTTTGTTATAACTAGTAATTATACTATTAATCTAACCAAGATACAACCTCATCATATATAAACAAAATTTATACAATACCTATAGATTTTGCATCCAACTTAGAACTAGTATTTATTTTTAAAATAAATCTAATATAATATATTATATATCTTATACATAATAGCACTTACATGTTTGATAACTTCTTTCTAATTAGTACCTGTTATACTGCTATTACTGTGTTTATAATTTTTTATAATAGGATCCAATCAACTTATTGACAATCACTTCATAGATACCACATTTTACTAACAATTATTTACTAACAAATTCATTTTACTGATAGTCTATTTTATTAAAACTTATTTTACAAACAAAGTGATTCTGGTTAATATTATTAAAGCAGGTAAAATTAAAGTTAAAGTTAGTGTAATTTATAAAAAAAAACTTGCTAGTAAAATAAGCTTCAATAAAATAGATTATTAGTAAAATGAACTTGTTGGTGAATAATTGTTAATAAAATATAATATCTATAAAATGATTATTGGTGAAATAATACAGATTAGCCACCACTTCTCTAAAAGATATATCCTTGGTAGTTAGAGAAGAGAATGATATAAGTAGGCAGATAGTTAAGCCTATTTACTCAAAAGAATTAGGTAATGACAGTACTCTAATGCCTAACCAAAATGGTTCTAATTTTTGTGAAAACATGAGAACCAGGTATATAGCAAGCACAATTGTAGAAGATATTTGAAAGATTTAAATTACAATTCTTTTCACTTCTTATAAACTTTTCACATGCTTTAATAAATTTCTTATATTACCTATTTTATTACTCAAATACTTAACTTCTTTTTTCTATACTTACTAACTAATAGTCTATAGAGTAATCTTCAAAACAAAACAGTTATCTCTATTAAAAATGACTATAGTGAAGCACATATTTATCTACTTGGAGAACCTTGTTCTTATCTGATTATATAATCCTATCTAGAGAGTATTTATCTTCATACTTTTATTCCTTTAAAGTTATATACTTAATACACTTCTAGCTTTAACACTTCTCATTCCTCTCTTAACCTATTAATATATATACACAATATCTGAGACTTTAACCAAAACTTTAAACAACAAATCTGGAAATAATACTGTCTATTCAATAATCTGGATATTATCTATCTTACTAAAACTAAACTTGCTAGCAATAACAACTTTATCTTCAAACCTCTTAAAACTCCTCACTATACTTATTTTTAGTCCTGTACTGATCATTCCAAAGCTGAAACTGCCATTATGATATGCAACTTCTTGACTTCTCATATATACAAAATTAACTCTATTCCAGGCTATGCCATCCAAATTAACTTATTCTTCAAACATAATTTCAAATTTTGTATTATCTCCACCTATCTTCCTAATAACAATGTCTTGATCAGATTTCAAACCCAAAATACTATCATTTAATAGCTACAGAATACTAGCATTCTCAATCTACTCTTTATTTTACTTGGAGACTTTAATGCCTCAACTAACAACACCCACTTCTTATCTATCAAATATAAACTTTTTTAATTTTTTTACTTATAATAACATATACAACCTTGCTTCACACATAGCCTCATCCTTGCCTATCTGGCATAATTCTAGATATAGTAGTGAAATTAACTTCATTTAGGCTGATCATACTACTTTAACTTTTTTTATTTTATTTTATATAGATAACTCACAAAGTAACTCACTTAGTGACTACAAAATTTTTATTTCTCACTGGTTCTTTCTCTATATACTACATGGTCAATGTAGATACAAAACATATACTTGTAGAAGAGTCTTTAACTACAAAGCTATAAATAATACTAAATGGAAAGAATTTTCTAACCAAGTCTATACTAATCTTCACTCTAACCTTATCTTACTCTTAACTCAAACTCTAGAATTTCTTAAAACCACTTGGCACAAAATTTATACTAGTATCATTACAGCTACTTTATAATATATTCTTAATAAAAAATTCACTGTTTGTAACTTCTAGCATATCTTTTTCTCCAAAGCCTTTCAATTACACTCCAATTTTAAAAAGCTCAGCAACATTATTTGATATGCTAAACTTGCTCTAAGATATTCCTTACCTATCTCTCTCTACCTTAACACCCCCATTACTTTATTTAATCAATCTGCAAGTCTTCATATTTTTCTATTACCATCTATATACCAACTTCTTACCTCTTAGATTACCAATACTAACTCTAAGTAAAAAAATCTTTTTCATGCTTGGAATATAAAGAATATTAAAAAAATTAGACAATAAGCTATCAATAAAAGATGTTCTAAACTACAAACCTATCCTACTTCAATAATTAATAGTATTCTTAATCGATACAAGAACCTAGTCAAATTCAATAATATCTAATTAAATAATAATATTATCACTAATCCTTTACTATCAAGTCATATATCCAACAACACTTTGATAATTAAACTGCTTCTTACTACATTAACACCAATATATTTAACTTCTAATAATAAGCCAAATACAACTTCAAATCTCATATCAATTTTACTTGGTACTCAAATATTTTTTATAACTTTACTGAAAATAAAGTTATCCTAACTATTAATCAACTTCCTAACAACAAAGCTTGTAGCCTCTCTGGAATTAGCTATGAAATATTCAAATATACAAGTTCTAACTTTTTTACTGCTATTATAGCTTTTTTTA